TTCAGGAAATAATTCTTTTGTGCTCTCTGGGATTCTGCTTGCCTCAGTTTCTCCTGAAGAGTTGTGGAGAGCCAAGAAGCAGGAGACAGTCTGTACTGCTGTACCTACCCTTCTGCTGCCTGTACATCTTTCTGGATGTACAATGGACATGAAGGGAAGCTGTCCTATGATTCTTGACCCCATCATTCATTTAGAGACAATACAAAAGACAGCAAAGAAGAGGAGGGCTGGAGGATAGTATAGAGATGATCTATGGACAAAGTGTCATCAAGCAAATCCATTCCTCTAGCTAAAGGGGTGGGAAGGGAACCGCCCAGCCCTAAGCCTGTGAGGGGCTGCTGCACAGGACTTTGAAGCATGTTTCAGCCAAACTTCAGAAAAGATAGAACAGAGTATGGACTCTGGGGTCCCTCTTGTCTGCAATGTGAGGTTGGATGTTGGAGATGGCCACTGCTGGTCTCCAGTGTGTGGTCAGGGCAGGTGGCATGTGAGTGTACCAATGTGGCCATGTGAGAGAGTGAGCTGGACGAGGCTCGATGTGGACTCCAGGTAAAAGGAGCTCCTGGAGGTGGGAGGGAACCTTAGGAGGCAGCAGCCATTTGGGCTGGTGGGGACTGCAGAAGGTCTTGCACATAAGCCTCATAGATCTGTGGAATTACAGGAGAAAGGGCCTGGTGGGAAAGCAAAAAACAGCAAAACCAAACCAAACAGCAGAACAAAATGAAACAAAACACTCTGTATCTGTGTTTGGTCCGTAAAGGGACTCTGAGAACTGTCAGTTACCTAAGGGTTAACAGAAGATTCCTAGGACTGTTGGGATTTGCATCAAGGGGCAGGGAACATTCCACCTACTCCATACACATTAAGCATTTGTGTGGCAAGAATAAAGATGTGATTTGAGACTCCACAAATCATGTGTGTTAATCACATTAGATGTTAGATGCACTGTTCTTTCCCCAAGGATCAGAGATGATAGGAAGTTAGCAAAGACGTTTCCAGAGGAAACCCAAACTATCTTTCATTTCCATTGGCCAAGTTTTATGAGAATCCACACTAATTGGTGAGTGTTGCTTCTTTTTGTAAAGTTTGGACACCAGATCTCTTCTGGCCACAGGTGTCATGCCAAGGGCTTCTCAGAATGCCCTGGGGTAGATTTCTGATTTCTCCATTCTGTCCATCTCTACCCCCTCTACTCTTTAGGCTGACTGTTGGTTCCTTCCAGGGTGAAGTGGGAGGATGGCAAGAGGGTAATGACTTGTAGGAAATCCCATAGGACTCGTGGTGATTCAATAAGGAAGTCAAGGCATGGAAGGTGGAGTTAACAAGCTCTTTGACCGATAAAGGGAAGAGTTCAGGCCCTCCTGAGCAGATGCCAAGTGGTGCTGTGTTGGGAAGGAGTAATGAAGTCTTCTTCTTCAGTGTCTTTCTCTGGCTCCTCCCTGAGATCTCTAAACACACAGGGCTGTTTGTTTAGGTGTGTTTCCCTTTGCTCCTTAGAAACTTTTTTTCCCTGTGGAAGAAAACACAAGAGCCCGCAGCTGAAGCCTGGGGAGGGAGATGGCGGCGTGCAGTGGCACTAGCAGGCCTTCAGATGAGACTGGCGAGTGGCATAAGGACATCCATGCACACGACTCCTTGCACTAAGGTGGAGGAGCAAGACTGCCATGGGGACCTGCCCTGTGAGGTTGCAAAAGGAGGACCTTTGGCAGCACTGGATGTACATGGTAAAGAATGTCTCTCTCCCAGAGTCAGACTTGCATCAAGCTTGGATTTCCTTGGTGCTATAAATGCTTTTCTTGTTTCCTTTTCTAGGTGTTCACTCTAAAGCCAGTCTGCTCTACACCTGCCCCCAGGAGCGCTAGAACGTCTTGACATGCTTTGGATCAGCTGCAATCAGCACGATTTGCCAGGAAAGGGAGAAAAGAGATAGGAATGAAGGTGGAGGAGCTAAGCAAATTATTGATCTTTTCATAGATCTTTGAGAAAGCAGGAAATAAATAAGTCAACAAAGTGAGGAGTGTGTAGGCAACTGTGTTAGACCCCCCCTTTTCATTATCTGAGTACATACAGCCCTGGAGCCAGCAGCCCTGTTTGAATTCCAGCTCCACCTGTCACCAGCTAACAACCTCGGGTTGGCCACTTTGATCTGTGCCTCCCTTTCTGCATCAGTCAAGTGAGGATACAGATGATATTTACCTTGTAGGTGGTTGTGAACTAACAGATAAACAGGCTTAAAAGGTGCTTGGTATGTGTCTGGGACCATGTATTTATTAGCTGCTATTATTTCTTTCTTTTCTGTAATTTCCTGGATCTGTGGGGATGTGAGGAGGGAAAAGAGAATTTGGAGAAAAGTCAAGTCCAACCTGTTTATTGGTGGTTTATAGCTATATTTGTATCTTCATTTATATTTATGTCTCCATCTACATTATTTTTAGAAATATTTAGAGAGTTGATTATACTAATGTTGATTAGAACTTGGATCTTTTCATTTATGTAGTGATATATTTGTGTTTGCTCATTTATTGATTAAATACCTACTTGATGAAGACACCAGGCAATTTAAAAATCTGTAGAGAATTTTCCCCTTAAAGAGTCTACAGCCATTTCGTTAATGGTTATGGCCATAAAATTCTGTGAAAGCCCAATAAATAAAATTAATCAGACATATATGGTCTAGGAAAATATTTTGTGAGAAAAATTCCATTTCTGTGCTCAGAAATGGATCTTTCTAGCCACATTGCTATTTGCAATCAATCTTCGAACTAGATGTGATCTTGTTGCTCCCAACTCTTCATCTCACTTTTGCCAATACCTTCCTTTGAAATTACCTGGCATTTTTAATATGTGCTTCAAGCCTAGGTTGAACGCCTTGACCTCAAGTTATTTACCAAAAGTCTGCTGTCACCCAAACGCCCTGACTCAAATACTTTGCACAAAGTAGTTTAGGGATTGTGAATTACATGGACACAGTCTATTTCATTTTTTGATGTATTTTACCCACAGTGTATTTACATCTATTTCACTTTAAATGTCATTTAACCCACATTAAATTAAAATGCTTTTTCATTTGCCATCTGGGCTTTGCTAAAACACAGGAAGTACGAAGCCACTTTCAAAATAAGGAATCTCACAGAGGACAAACTGTCTCTTGAAAATCAAATAATCATTCTTTGTAAGGATAATGATCCATTTTTTTGTCTTTTATGGGCTTAAATATATTCTTGCTTTATATATTTTTGAACTGCTAGAATAATTCTATCAGGCCTTCCAATATTCTTCACTAAGATCATCAGTGGTTATGAATCATGATTGAAGAAGATGTCTGATAAATGGTTTAACGAAACCACCTGATCCACTGAAAATTGAACTTACTCTTTGACCTGGGTCAGCCATTTACCCCTCTGGGCCATTGTTTTCTTTTGTTAAAAATTTACAACTTTATCCTGGTAAAAGTCAAATAATCTTTCAGGTTCTTCATTTTCAGAGATTCCTGATCTATGTTCTCCGGTATGGTAGCCACTGGCTACATGTGATTACTGAGTTAGTCGAAACTAAAATGTCCTGAAATACATTCCAGATTTTAATGATCAAGGATACAAACATAAAAAGTAAAATTGTTTTAGAAAAAAAAGTTTCCAAAAGTTTAGATTTTGAAGTTAAAACTCTTATTTATCCCAAACAAATAAACCTTACCTGGAAGATATTTCCCACCAAATCCCTCTTCAAGTTACCTTGGGTGAAAGCTTGGTGAAATGCTAAGGTTACCATACTCAAAATGCAAATTCTGTAACATCATCTCAACTCTTATCACCAAAGATGACCAGGAAATGGCCACAATATTAAAAGCCACTATTGCTAGGTGGTGGTGTCTTGACTGAGTTTTCATTCTTTATCTTTCAATCTTTCAACAGGATGATTTTTTCTTTCTTCATCAGAAAAATGCATATCTTTACAGTTTAGCACATTTTTTTTTTAAAAAAAGAGGATGATGTAAAAGGAAATACACCAAGATGTTTCAATTTGCTTTTATCTATTTCCAAATTTTCTATAGCGAATAAATTACTTCTATCAAGAAAAATATGCTTTGTTTAAAAATTGTAACATCCACCTACTCTTTTAATGTTAAACCTCAGTTAATTTGCATGCTGATTTTCTTAGAACTCCTAAGCTTTTATCTCTGCTACATTAGACTAAATAGTAGATACTTTAGATTTTAGTTTTGATCTTTGATGCCCATACAGATATTTGGGCACTGAGACAGAACAGAATCCAGTGACCATCTATGCAGGAGATGAGGCGAAGATATTTAAACATGTAGGGCACCATGTTCAGGACTTTAGGCTATGCTGCAAAAATGCCCATCTCAAGGGGTACTCAAGCTGGACATGGTGACACCCTGGCTGTCCTGGAGGCTGACGAGGAGGATCTCTCGTATCCAGGTGTTTGGGACCAGCCTGGAAAACTTAGAAAGACCAGTCCCTTAAATAAAAATAAAAATAAAATAGATACCCTATATATCTGAGTCCTACAGCAATGGGTAAAATGACCTTCTGCTCATGGTCCAAATTAGCTCATACAGCTACAGGCACACTCATGGAGCTCAAGTGTGCACATATGTGCACCTCACGTTCACAAGTGGGCAGGACTGTGCCCTATCCAGTCTTCCTGGGCACACCATGGGGCTGCTTCTCTCACCTGCTCTCCACCCTCAGAGACGAGACCTATTCCCTACTTGCCTCTGGACTTGGAGAACGTGTGGTGCTGTGGTGTGTGCCGCTGGTGTGAGTGTGGGTGTGCAGGGCCAGGTGTGCTGTCTGCCCTGCTGGCTCTGGAAAGATCTGGACTTCTTAGGGTCCAATAGGCATGGCTGTTGAGACTGGCAATGATATACTCATTCAGTTTATGCTTTTTTCCTTGGGAATAGCTATCTTCTTCCAATCCCATGAGGCAATGAGCCACTTGGGATTGGTAACAGCACCTTTAAGCACATCAGAACTTACTGTTGGTGGTGAAGATGGCTTCTCCCTCCTGGGGCGTGGGGTCTGCATCCTGGACCACCTGCAGGGCTCCCACCGTCCGGACAGCAGGGTCTAAGGTGACTGAACTTTCGTTCACTGTTGTGTCGCTTGCGCCTGTGATCTGGTTGGTTGGTGGACCTCCCAGAGAGCCCTCGAAGTCAGTGGGTAGGTCGTCCATGCAGTCAGCATTGGGCTGAGGGAGGGAGGGAAGGATCTATTCTTAGAGTGTGTCATCAATTTAGAGATGCTATTATATATCCTAAATATTTTGACCCAAAGAAGTATTAACATTTTTTGTACTGTTTTCTTAAGCTAATTTTTTTGAAAACAGTCTACATTGGCATTAACATGAGAAGATCTTAACATGAGCATGAAAAGATCTTCCAAAATTCATTTTCAAAGTTTCCTCTTACATGTTGGTCTATAAAGTTTTAATTCCAGGAATATCAAGATCTCTACTTTTAAAGAATTAGTTATGGAGAATACATATATTTATTTATGGTGATAGAAGAGCCTTTATACAATGTGCACATCCCACATAGAATAGATAATTATCCCCCAAGATTCCTTCACTGTTTACAAATATACTAATACTCAAGTGTGAATGGGACAGAATTTGACTCATTTTGAATTGTTCCTTAAAGATATATGTACACACAAATACAAGCAAAAATCAACTATAGAAAAATATCCTAAACTTCACATGGAACTGAACATACATTATTAGTCAAATCCTTTAAATTAAATCTTAGAATCAAAAAGCCAGGGTGAGACCATCTTATTCCATCACCCTTTCATTACAGTATTTCTCCTCCCTAAAAACATTGACTTCTCCCTTTGAATAGCAAAAGTTGCTCTCTGCCTTGGTAGGCAGGTTGTGTTGGGTACCATCATTGGGCATCTCTGTTATTGGGCAAAATCTTACTCTTTTCAAGTCTCACTCTGATCTTAGTTCTGCTTTTTGAAGTAATAAAAAATATATTTCCCTCTTCCACAAAAAGCTTTTAAAATTACTTTCAGTTGTTGTGTCTTTACCGGAACTTTTGAAAATTATTTTTTTTAAAGGTGGTGGTGAAAAGATAGGGTCTTCAGTAATATTAGAATAGCTTTGGTCTGAACTTCACCTTTGTCTTCAAGGATGATGATGACATGTCTTTCCACTCCCAGTGTTTATAGAATGTGAAAAGAATTTGGGGTTGACACTGAATTAGCCTCATAATGATAACACTGTATTCAAAGAGCCTTAAAAGGCAAAACCTACAACTCGTGGACTCATGGGGAGCCCAGAGCAGATCCAAGTGCTGGACCCTTGCCCAAGCTTTCCCTCCATGGCTGTGTAAGGATGTGTCTTCAGGGACACCCCTGTGTTTCCAGTGATCAGCTGGAAGTCTCCATCATCCCACAAACTCCTCACAGTTACCTTATTCCTTTCTTCTGTTCTTCCTTTTTCTCTCTCTGTATCTATTAGAAGTGAGTCATTCATTAAAACTCAATTTGTCAAAAATCAACTTACAGAATGACCATCGAATTTACTATATTTACTGGCTTTGAAATTGGACACAAGCAGGTGTGTTTATGAACATGCCTCCCCATCCCCAATCATCTCCTTTGGGTCTCTTCAGTTCCCTTCAGTCTCATTCTCTTATCATGACATTTTTTTTTTCCCAAAGGAAACACAGGTATGATTCTTCTCTTCTCCCAGGGAGTGGATCACCAGCTCCTTAGCTTGCTGAAACAGATGCTCTGCAGCCGGATCCCACCTACTCTTCTACCTCACCCTTAGCCTTTGGCGAGGGAGCACCATACATCCCCTGTCTCAGGGCTTCAGTTTACACTGTCCCTCTGCTCAGGATGACATTAGCCACAGTCACCCTCCCATTCCCATCCCAGGTCTCACATGATGTCTGGCAAATTCCTAACCACACTTTAAGTCTCAGGCCAATGCCACCTTTTTGGAAGCATGTTCCTTCCCAGGGAGTTGTTCTGAGTGATCCCGGAGCACTTCCTTGACACTCTTCCCACTATGGATGGTCATTTGCTAGTATGTCTGCCTTCTGCTAGTCTACAAGCGGGGTAAAGAGAAGCAGCCATGTCATACTGATCTTGCATTTCAAGCTTCCATATAGTACCATTGATAATTATCAGGTGCTCAATAAATGTTGATTTGAACATTTTATTTGAATCTCAGATTTCTGCTCTGAAAACTTGGGCACATTAGTATCTGCCCAAGATTAATCAAGGGACAATTTGAGAAAATACTTTTGAGAACTGTAAAGTTCTATGTGAAAGAAAAGGTATGCTATTTAACGATGTTCATTAAACAAAAGTAAATGTGTGTGGGGTCCTGGGGCGGAAAGGATTTCATTAGGGGGACATGGTGCTGGGTATTCATTCAACCATGAAGTGCTGAAAGCAATCCCATGTAACAGCAACTGACGTGCTTTTTGAAACACTGATTCTGGTTGTTGATACTGTTCTTTGATTTCATTTATTTCTTAATTTCCATGCCGCACATTTCTTTGCTTTTATTTTGTAGGCCAGTAAGAGAGGTGCTAGATCCTCAATAGAGGAGACAGAAGAAGAGAAAAAGCTGATTAGTTGAGTGAGACTCAGTGGTGGCAGGCATGCATAATCTGGCTTGGACATAACATTTAATAGACCATCTTTCCAGAGCCTACCAGTTTTAATCCACTTTCCATGGTTAATCACACAGATTAATGTGTTGTGTTAAAAAGAAACCAAATTTGTACCATTCTGAGAAAAGTCTCAATCAGAATGTTTCCAAGAGAAATCCAGTGCTATCTGCAATTGAACACTGTTTAAGCGTTGAAATTCAGGTCAGCACGGGGAAAACTCTTCAAAGACTTAACTGCTGACAAACCTGGTGTGTAAACTTGTGGTTACAGAGGATGTTCTGCTCAGTGGTAGTTATCACACTATTCATATCAGGATCACAGAGATAAGGGTGTGTATGCTGGCATATAAAAGACCCCGCCCAGTTCTATGGGACCTTAGAACTGTTTTCCTATAAAGACAGACCTGCCCCTCACTGGGCTGCAAAGAGAACTAAGCACTCTAAGGTAGACAACACTTCTGATAGTAAGGGACTTCTGCCCAGGTGTGGTGGGCACACCTGAAATCCCAGTGACCCTGGAGGCCGAGGCAGGAAGATGGCAAGTTCGAGGCTAGCCTGGGCAATTTAGCAAAACTTTATCTCAAAATAAAAAATAAAAAGGGCTGGGGATGGAGCTCAGTGATAAATCATCCCTGGGTGCAATTCCTGGTACCAAACAAACAAACAAAAAAACCCACACAAACTTTCTCCTGTTTTCAGTTCATTCTTATATTTCTTTTGGCAAAATATGATGGGAAAAGGCACTCATCGAGATGGGACGTTCAGATCACTGAGGTGTGCTCTCATTCTGTGGTCCAATGTAGAGAATTCAATGATGAAAATTAAATGTCCCAGCTCTTGGTTTTCAACTTATATTTATTTGCCTTATAGCATAGGCAGCCGAATGAACACTCAATCAAAACCAACAAAAATGAAAACCACAAACAAAAATAAGATTCCATATGGATCTGGACAATCTTATGACTCAGAATTACAACCAAGTTGTTTGTGAGTTGACATCGTTTCAAGGGGAAACAGGATGTAATTCACAAATACAGGTCATGCACTGCTAGCCCGCAATACTCTGGAGGGTTACAGTTCTACACATTTATTGAGCTCTTAGCATATATTAGGGATACAGAGTTGGATTAACAGATGTCGATTATCAGAGTGTGACAGGCTCTATCCAATTTTCCTTACAGAAGAAATGGTGTATGAAGATACAGGAAAATTATAAGACAGTGTCTATAAGTTGCATAAAAACGGTTTTAGTTAGCACAGGAAGTATTTTCTAATTAAGGCTGTGTGCATATCCAATGATATGGGAAGCTATTAGAATGAACAGAAGTCATATCATTGGTATATTTTAGGCATACTGTTCCCCAAGGGTAGGGGAGAATGAAATGAAACCCCAAATTCCTGCTGGATTCTGACTTTATCATTCTCTAGGACAAAAAACGGAAGAGCCCCGGAGACAGGGAGGCTAACCATGTGTCTTGGTGCTTCATCAGAGTTGCACACACCACGGGCCTTCTTCATGGAGGATGTTCTGTTCTGTGGGGCAGGCTCGGATGTATCTCATGTTCTTGTTTGGGTGGCCTTTAAAATTCCTTGGCAAAATCCAAAAGATGCTACTGATGTTTCTTTTTCTGGGAATCGAGTATGCTAAGCAAAATCCTATCCAGACAAGTGTCAGGCCTCAAACCATGGCCAGAATATGCTCAATCGCCAAAAATTAAAATGTTATTACATTTGGAAATGAGCCCAAAGGCCACTTAATAATTCTGCTTGAGCAACAGTAAGAGTGATAATTCATAACTTCTTTACAAGTACCTTCTGGAGAAACTGTATCCATGTGGGAGTTATATTTGAAGCCAAATATTATTTAGTACAGAATTTAACTCAGAGGATTGTCACAAGGAGTGGTAGGACAAACACAATCTTGAAAAATATCCTGAACAATAGGAATCAGATGAAAGGATGCAACTGTGTCCTTTAATTGTGAGGATTCTGAAGACTTCAGACACCAAGGACACACAGGCACATGCAAGCACACACATATGCACGTTTCCCCTTCCATCAAACAACTGGTCACAGCTAGAGATGTGAAAACTGCCAAAACTGGGTTTGATTTTTTTTAAGTCACCAGTTTTTGGTAGTGATGTTGGGTTTTCACTAACATTTCACATTCTCTGTAATTGATTTTCACCTTGAATGCACTACGCATTAGCAACTCTGATCTGAAAATTTAATGCATTGCCTTTGAAATCTAGCTCAAAGCTCCAGCCATGTGAGTTGATTTGTGTTTTGTGTATTGATCGTGAAAACCAGCACACAGCTGGCACGGGGAAGCTGATGCAGGGTGAGAAACCCAGCCAGGGCATGTCCCCAGAATGCATCGGGGTGTCTTCTCTAACAGTCACTCTGAAGTTCCTAATTAGCCCTTTGGCATTAAGGAAGACTTTGATATGTGATCTGATGCCTTGCTTTTTCAGTGGCATCTTGTGACTGTGAACATTCTCTTTGTTCTCTGCCATTAGTAGTGAGACATGACAAACAGGCAGGTTGCAGCAAATACAGCGGGATGCGGGTGGCTGGCTCTGTGTGTTTGTGCGGCTTCTTTTAGACAGTGCCTTATGTTTTTGCACATCTCTGAGACTGGCTCATTTCCTACCCTCTTCTGCTTAGAGGGGATAACACACAGCAGCTGGTGCCTCACCAGCCACCACTTGTGGGGTTCACTTGATACTGACCCAGGAAAGTCTTTCACTGGAGCGTCAAGCCAGCTGGCGGGTTCTCCTTGCATTGGAGAGAGCTTTTGAAAACACGTGACTGAGGGAAGCAGCTTAATAATAGTGCAAAACTTAAGTGTCTCTGGCTCTGCTTTCCTGTTTGCCCAAGCTCTCTGCAGAGATCTGGGTTAACAGAGGTCTGGAGCCTGGTTCTCGGCCGCTGTCCTGCCCTCCCTTAGCTGGAAGGGACTTGTTGCCTCCCAAAAGTAGGTGACCATTGGGCAACACCTGAAAGTGTGGCATGCAGATCTCTTTGATGTCTAGGCTGGGGTGATGACCACAGAGGTGGTCAGTGTGCAGTGGCCCAGCATACCTCTGCTGGTGTCCCAGCTGCCCTCCAAAAAGACGCCTGTGAGCTGCACCAGTGGCATCTTGACTCATGGATAAATTCAATGGATGTGGTGGAATGGGTGATGTCCTCAAATTGAGAAAAAGTGACAGGAGAAATGTTTTCAAACATGGAGTTCTCTTGGGGCCTCATTGGATGACATCATTGCTATGTGACTGAGAGGACATAGAAAATCCAGGTAAGAAGCTTTCTCACTGCTCTGGGGGTAAAGCAGAAAGACAGACATTACGATGGTGTAGGCTGTGCTGTGCTTACCGGGATCCCTAGGGCTTTAAGAATGTTCATCTTGCACATGGGGCAGGTGCGATGGTCTAGAAGCCAGGGGTCAACACAGGACTTGTGGAAAAGATGCCTGCAATGAGAACCATACATCTTAGAGCGGTGGTGGCGGCAGAGACTACCTGTTCCACTATAGACCAGCAGCCTGCCCAAGGTCCCTCAATTGCTGGATGGGTGGCAGGTCCAAGACTCGAAACTCAGTCACCTAGTTCCTGGACCACTGGGTTTCCCACTATATCCTGGTCCAAAATCTGTGTGGATCCCGGGATTGACCTATCTGATTTGCAATGGACTCTTCCACGTTTCAGACAGTATAGAGAATGTAGAAACTGAGGGATTTCTCTCTTCCTCAATACAAGGAACGTTTAATGGTAAGAACACAAGTGGCGAAACCTGAATAGACCCTGCAGGATGACTTGGTAGAGGCTACTTTAAAAAAAAAATCCAAATTCCATTTCCCACAGTCAGAAGACTACTGAAAAGTAGAGGCTGACTTTCATGAATATTTGGGTCAAACATAAAGGGCGTAAGAGCTCCTGGGAGCATTTAATAACACAAACGACTTCCTTGTTGTCATGGCTGCTGTCAGGTCAGGAGAGAGTGTGAGGGGCTCTGTGGTTCCCCTGGGGGTGCCTGTGGCTGGCTGCACCTTGGTGTGCTCCACCAGGTGGCCAATCTCATGTGCCAGTTGGGTCCTTCATATGATGGCAGAAGGTGGGCATGAGGAGGGTTTCCTAACAGAACTTTCTCTCAACTCGACTCACAAAATCCCACACACAGATATCAGGAGCTTCTAACTCACAAGGGTCCAGACCATGCATAAAAGCAGTCAGAATTTCCTGCCTGAAGCAAGGAGAGAGAACATTGCCAGTTTTCAGTAGGAGAGCTTTCTAGGACATTCCATCCGGGCCTGCATCTGTCTGCTGCTTAGAGCTCTATTCTTGAATCCTTCCATTCTGTTCTCCATTTTCATCTTCTTCTGTTCTAACAGTTCTGAAAAAAAAAACTCATTTGCTTTGTATTAAGGGGCTTTGGGTTCAAATGCTTAAAAAGTACCCCCATATTAGAGAAAAGTCTTGGAAATGCCAGGGTTAGATAGAAATCCATAAGAACTCAAGTGCTGAGGACAGGATGAGGGGTACACAGGGTGGGATCAGACTGGGAACTAGAAAAGCAGAGGAGCAATAGGCTGTGCTGTTCTATTTCCAGATCATTGTCCAGAATGCCCTGCAGATCAACTGCTTGGAAAGCATATATCTCATTCATTCTTTCCTTTATCCATTTGTTTATTTAGCAGGTAGTATATGCCAAGAACTGGGCTCAGTACCATGAATCAGCACAACAGTGACTTAGGTCCTTTCCTCAGAACAACGGGAATGGCAGATATGAATAAAATAGTATTTGAACAGACTACTTGGTGAAAATAATACCACTTTCGAAGGTCAGGAGGTTTGGAGGTGGGGCTTAAAGTGTGAGATTTATCCAAGTTCAGAGAAGATTTTCCTGAGGAAGTGACACAGCCCCGAGCTGGGCACTAGAAGGCAGCCAGGCCACTGTGTGTGGGGGTGGGTGTGTGGGAGTGGGTGGGTGGGTAGGGGAACAGGGCCACAAGGAGAAGGGTGACTGGTACCTGGGGATGAAACCACTCCCTGCACCCCAGGAAGCAAGGCTGACCTCCCTAGGTTAAGGTTCCATGATGACTCAGGAAACAAGGGCCTAATTGAAACTTGCTCACCAACTGGTGGTGCTCTTGGGGAAAAGGTCAGACATCCTGGTCCCATTTGAACATTCCTGGGAGGCAGATGACTCATCTGTTTTCTGCACAAGTGCAGGAATAAGGATGGTAACAGCACCAACCATTAGGGCTTTAACATTTTGGCCTGCATTTATTCTCGAGGGCCCCTGGTGATTTCTGCACATCAGCTTTCTCTCCTCTGTGATGGCTGGTATTCCTGTGCCAACTCTCAGTGCTATTGTACCCAGCTGTTCAGTCAATACTAATCCAGGTGTTGCTGTGAAGGTGTTTTGCAGATGTGGATAGTATCTACAGTTGGTTGACTTTAAGGAAAGGAGATTATCCTCAGCAATCTGGGTGGGCCTTATCCAATCATTTGAAAGGTTTTCAGAGCAAAGCAAAGTTTTCCCTGAAAAGAAATCCTGCGAGACTATAGCATCTGCTCCTGGCCCAAGAGTTTGCAGCCCTAGGCCTGCTCTGCAGACTTCAGACCTAACAGCCCTTTTCCCCATGCAAGTCAATTTCTGGAAACACCTCTCTATATATTGGGTGCTCTCTCTCTCCCACTGTTCATTTTTCCTGGAGAATTCCGAGACATCCTCCAGTTAGTATACAAGGTCAACAAGAGCAAAGTCTACATTTGTTTGATTCCCTCTTGTATCCTGGCATCTCCATTAGTTTCTGGTACGCAGCTGATGCTCAGGGCACATTTGCCACGCGAGTGGATATCTACTCATTCAAGGACCCGCCCTCTCCCAGCCTCTGCTGGCTCATCAGCACTCTTCCCGTCTTCGCCCATTCACGGCTTCTCTGCTCTCCTCCGTGGCTCCCTCATTCACCATTCCATCATCTTTCTCCCTGTATTACTGCAGAAGCATCTTAGCTGCTCTCTGAGCTGCCAGGACTTTCCTGTTCTCTTCATCCCACTCGTTGTTGCCAGATTTATCTTCCTAAAATAGAGCCCCAGCTATGTCACCCTCTTGTTCCATTCTGTTCTGTGCCAGGAGCTGGGTACAGGGATGAATAAGACAAGGCCTCTCCCTACAAGGCACAGCCCCCCAGACTTGTCAACTAAAGCCTTGTCAACTAAAATGAAAAGACCAAGGAAAGTTTATAATCCTGGGTTCACTGTTATTTTGTTATTTTCAGTCTTAGGCAATTCACCTTAGCTCTCTAAGACTCAGTATCTCATGGTGAAATTTCATCTTGTAGGTTTCAAGTTTGCAAGTGAATGACTGTGGTGGTGGTGGTAGTTGGGGGTGGGTAGAAAACACTGCCCACAAAGCTTAAACACAATTCTTGGTACTCCTCCATATTCATCCATCATTCATCTTATTAATAGCACTCTACTGCACCTTAATTTCAGAAATTATGATTACTATGATTTCCATACTTCAGTAGAACCATTTTAACATAGAAAGCAAATAACTACAATTTTAAAAATTATGAACTAAGAGAAAAAAAGAAAAAAGACATATAGGGCAGTCATGGTACAATTAACAAATATTTATTAATTTCTAGCACCATATTTCTTGTGCCAGTCACCTAATATGTAAACTATATCTTCAAAATTAGGGTTATTAAATAGTTTTCCCCTTCTAAATGGAAAGAAAAAGTCACTAAAGGAATAGAGAAAGAATCTAGAGTTAAATGAAACAGGTCAACAGTTCAGGAAACACCTGTAAGGTGCAATCTGAACACATTTTATTTGTTCAATTCACAGCAGAGCCCTGACCGTTCCCACATTTTAACAAGTGCTGCCTAGAAAGGACATAAAGGGGAACAGGAAGGACACATAGAGGAGAAATAGGTCATGACAGTCTATCTCTTAACAGTCCTAACAAATTGGAAATATAACAGAAGGTTATGTAGGAGGAAGACTCAAACTTTTCCTCCTGTTCATCAAAGGGAGGCAAATACTGTGGAAAGAGTTCAACACAGCTGGGCACAGTGACACATGCCTGTAACCCAGCAGCTTGGAAGGCTGAGGCAGGAGGATTGCAAATTCAAGGCCAGCCTCGGTGACTTAGCAAGAGCCTCAGCAACTTAGAGAGACTCTGTCTCAAAAAAATAAATAAAAAGGGCTGGGAATATGACTCAGTGGTAAAGTGCCCCTGGGTTCAATCCCCAATCCCCCTGCCCCCCAAAAAGGAAAAGAAAGAAGAAAGAGTTCAACACCTACAAGTACAAGTGAGGATGCTCACGATTACAGGATGATGCTGAGATGATTACAAATAACAAGTGCCTACATTTTTAGCAATATGACAAACCAAGCTAAACTAATCTCCACATCTATTGATTCTGGTTCTCTGTTGTTCTTTCACCTAGTTGTGTGATTCCCTCCCCTATGAAGTGACATTTCTTCTCTGCCCAGAGAAGGAAGAGGTCTTTGTGTTTGTTCAATCTCATCCACTTTTATTGGTTTCTTCGACCCTGCCACCCTGCAGCTGAGATTAGGATTCTGTGGGTGTTGGTACCAACGCAAGCTGTTTCATTCTCCTTAAGGAAAGCTTATTAAAGAATGTGAGTCACTCAGGTACCTGAGAATCCCACACTGCCAGGCAACATCGACTATTTAAAACAGATACCCAGAGCATTGATGGGTAGCTGAAATGTTCCTTCAGAGCCTCTGTGTCTTATATGCAAAGTTGTCAATGAAACCAGGGTGAGTTTTAAATGGAAAAACCCCACCGACAGTGTCTGCCACCTCCTGTGTCCCTATCATGTACCAGGCATGTGACATACAGAACTGATTCACAACCAGCCTTTGAGCTGAAAATTATTAGACTAGTTTTATGGAGGAGGAAGTTCAAGTTCATTAAAGAAAGTTCCCTAAAGAGTTGGTAAGCTGTAGGAGAGAGGATTCAAACCCAGTCCTAACCTTGTTATAAAGTCAGTGCTTTTACCAATTCTGTATTCCTTGGGTCTTCTTGCCATGAGTTATGGGTAAGAGGGTAGATGAAAGCATTCATACTTTTTTTTTTTTTACAATGAACTTCTGTCCTCCAGCTTCAAGTGCTTGACTTCTCTGAGCTTCAGTTTCCTCATTTATAAGATGAAGATAATAATAGCATCCATCTGAGGCCCTCAATACTGTTCTTCCAATATGCCAGCTCTCCCTCTTTTAGGTACCCAGAAAGACCACAGGTTCTCCTAGTGGCAGCTGTAGTCATGTAAGTAATTCTATCCGATAAGCTACAAAGAAAATAATCAGTTTTACTTTGGAATGTGGCACTTAATGATTGCTCTGTCAATTAGCAATTGCTCTGTCAGTTAGCATTATAGCTTGCAGGTTATAATGAAAGTTATGAGTGACTGCATCATCAGTCCAGCTGTGG